GGTGACAGGGGCACCTGAAGCCGAGTGTCTCCGCCGGGCTCCGGTTGCAGGGAGGAGCCCTGGGTGGCCGCGCATGGCTGCGCCAAACGCCGCAGCGTTGCTCCAAACGCCACGGCAGCATGGGGAGAAGAGAAAGCAACGGTGGCGGAAGGTCTCCCAATACGAAGTGCCCCACCAACGCCGAGGTCAACACAGGTAGCACCATATCCGGGTGTGCAACAAAAGTACTTCCTAACGGCAAGCCCCCACGCCATTTCCCCCCATTTCGCATGTTTTAATATAGGCCTTAATTGCGGGGAGGGGCTTAATTTCATTTCATGCCTATAAAACATGCTGGGACTTCCTATTGGGGGAGGCCGTATTGTTGGAGAAACACGGTACTTTTTAACTGACAAGAAAGATTATTCATCCTTATACTCTTTCACTGATGGAGAACTCCCTCTTGGGATATGCACAAAGTAATATGCTGAACTCATTTTTTTCTACTTGGAAATCTGAACTTGAGCTACCCAGAAGACTTAATTATATTAGGTATGAAGTCGAATTTCCTTCTGTATTTTCTTCTTCAACCAACTATTAATTGAATTCCAGTGCCAAGCACATGTTCCTACTGATATGCTATATTTCAAACTGCATTCTTTTTCTCCTATTTTTTCCCGTAGAAATTACAGGTGGTAAAGTTAATAATATATTTTTAAAAAACACACAAAAGAATGGTGATATATCATGATACAAAATGTCAATACATAATATGGTCAAATTTAGCATTTTATTGATAAACATTTCTTGAAGATTTAGTATATAGACTAACAGAAGCAATGCAAAAACAGCTAGGAAGATGGTCCTAGCAAACCACTCCTTTTTGCCAAGAGATCCACCATTGATCTTAACTCAGGGAGCCTTTCCTTTTGATGATTGCAGCTGATTTTATTGGATTTTATACATGTAATGTTGACTACTAATTCTATAGGACCTGTATACCTTGAAATAATAAAGAATAGACAGTTTATGGAGATGCTCAGTCATTCAGGACACGGTTGTCCCAAAGGTGCTTTTTCAAGAGGCAACTGGACTTTCTGGTTTTTCTTTGAAGACGTTTCACTTCTCATCCAAGATGAGCTGAAGAAACTTCTTGGAGGAGAAGCGAAACGTCTTCAAAGAAAAAACAGAAAGTCCAGTTGCCTTTTGAAAAAGCACCTTTGGGACAGTAGACAAAATTGTTTTTCCCAAACTGATTGCCAGGAAATTATCAAGTCTGTTCTGATCAAAACCATATTTATACCTGGCATACAAGGAGAGACTTACCATTTCACAAGAATTATTATTCTTAAATAGCAAGGAACTGCTGTACCCAAACGTTCACTAAATGGTGCTATTGGCAAGAGGTTTTTCAGTCCCCAATTCTATTGAAAACAATATAAAAAGGGATTACAGGTATGCAAACACAATTACAATGCAATTATAAGAGCCAAAAAAATAATAGCCCGAGAGAAAATGTTTGGTGTGCTTGTTATTTCCCCATAGATTAATCCTCTGACAAAAGATGATGAGGGTGTTTATCAGTGTCATGCCACAAACATGGTGGGAGAAACGCAGGCAGAGGGGACTATTAAAGTCCTGCACCAAAGTAAAAATAAGAAGGATCACTTCCCAGCATCAGAAGACGTGAAGTAGCAAGGTAACCTTAATCTTAGTCTTCCATGTTAATAATGCCTTTTTAAATGACTATAAATGCCTGCCCTTTTTTTCATAGACAAGGATGGCATAATAAAATAAACAAAAAAAGGGCTTTAGTTTAGAGGCTTACAAGTTGGTTTCAACCTAAAGGCAAATAGATCTTGATTTCCATGGAACATTTATAAGCACACGGTTGCAATTTGCACACCATTGTTCCCCAGAACTCACCTTACAGGAGTTATTCTCTGAAAGGCTTTTATACTACATTGAGTATGTTGAATTTCTGATTTTTTTTAAAAAGAAAGATAAAGTTGGTATCGTTGCCTAGTGCTGCCAAGCAGAATCAATGTACATTTTACTACAGGCATTGTAAGAATTATGAAAATGTTGGAAATTGCCGCTATATGGCCATCCCTTCAGTTCTAATCTCTGAAAGTATGGAAATATCTCAGAAACGAGATCTTTTTTCAGTGGTAATTTATCTTGGGGTAATTGGCGGTTGTTATCTTCAACTTCATAGTATGCACGATGAGTTTCAATGGAGAAATACCCGTAAAGGCAGATAAATTGACTAATTTTCTCAAAAAGGGATGGAGAGAAAACTATGACAGACTTATTGGAGCAATTAAATGCTTGATGCTCAGACCAGATAGTGGTGAGAACAGGATATTGGTAGCATTCATGGTTCTCCTATTAAGCTATGGGGAAGACAGGAGCATCCCCTTTTTTATTATTGTAGTATAACTCTTTGTGCCTTTAATCTATTAACTGCACAGAAACATGCTAATGTAAGCCAAAATAAGAGTTTATGAGTAAATTGCAACTTTTTCTCATTGTATTTGTAGTTCCTTATATGGAGACTCTATAACAGGGTTGTCCAGCCTTGGCAACTTTAAAACTTATGGACTTCAACTCCCAGAATTCCCTAGTCAGCATGGCTGGCTAGGTAATTTTGGGAGTTGAAGTCCACAGTTGCCAAAGTTAGATACCCCTGCTCAACAGTATTAGTGATACTATACTACATTTTTCCAAAAACTAGTCCATGTGTTTGAGAAGTCAGCAGCTGATGCACATTTTCAGGCATATGACTGCTAGAGTATAGTTCTGCAAACAGTCCACATTCATTTACATTGTGCAAATAGCTTTGGCTATAAAAGCTGCTACACAAAGCAAGATCAGTGCGTGCCAACCAAAGTTGAAATCTAACACTTTTTCCTCTTCACCTTAAAAGGAAAAGAGAACCAGAACAGATGGGAATATGGTGGAACAGGAAAAAGTGCATTTTAGGGTCTGATAAGAATAGGAGCTAAAAGGTAGGGATGAAAAGAGAAAGAGTATGCACTTTGGACACAGAAAGAAAATTGGTGGATTACATAAGGAATGTGTGTAAAAGAATAATTAAGAATGAGTCAATAAAACCAATTATTTGTAACTGAAGGGTAATTTAGCCTTCTGAATCTAAACAAAATCCTCCACATTAATTTTCTGTAAAACTGCATATAAATATTATTTGTGAATGCCACAAGTTATTTTTTTCTCTTCCTCCCCCACATCTGTCTAGACCTCCTCCAGTGGGATCGGAATTGAACACAATCTAGACACCAATGGATGGATTAGTGATTGCTTTCTTACTTTCTGAAGACTAGAAGACACTATCTCAATCTTTTCTTGAGTAATGGTGATATTTGTACCCCCTTTTTAGTGTTTGATGAATATTGAACATGTAGTTAGTATGGAACGAAGACATAATAAAAGCATGTTTTTTTAAAAAAATGTTTTTATTGGCACGCTCAAAGTACATCTAGAAAACATTACAACTTACTACAGCAACAAATTAACTGGCAAAATAGTAATTACTGTATTCAAGGCCATTTAAAATTAAGACATGGACAAAATATTCATTTGAGCTCTCCCTTCACTAAGCAATCAATTCTCCATCATTTTTGTCCATAAAACTAAATGGCCTACCTACTAAATGAGAAATAGCAAAAACAATATTGTATTTTAATGCATTAGTTTAACCACTTGAATGAAATTTGCGAAGGTTTATATTCAGCTTTCTTCCAAGACTCTTATAATGAACTTCCCTTCATTACATAACCACCACAACCCTGTATGGTAGATGGAACGAAGAGCTGGCTCAAAGTCATCCATTGAGTTTTCATGGCTTGGGTGGAATTGAATCTTGTCTTCACTGTGTTAGCCCAACAGTTCAAACAATACACTGGCACATTACAAATTCTGAACTGGATTCTAAATAGAACTCCCGTCCTATAGAACCTAGAACACGTGTCAATATAATACACACATGCACACCCCTCCAGAATGCTATAGGGTCTCCTGCTTGTGTAGGGTGGCTGAACTAGAAGACTCCAAGATCTTTCAACTCTGTTATACCTTTACTCTTACGTCTTTAAAAGTGCACTAAATTTGAGAACATACTGTTTCATCTTTATCATCTTCATTGCTTGTTTTATTATAGAATAATGTCTTTAATCTAGTCATATTCTCTGCCCAAGGTGAAAGATATTATAACAGGTTTTGAAGTGTAATAGAAAAGATGGAAACTCAGAGTTAAACTGCAGTTTCCTGCATGCTTATACTCATTTAGTAGAAGACAAACTCCTGTTATTCCATCTTCTCATTCTTGTGTTTACTTTTATATGTTGATTAGGTAGGTACACTTCAACGCAAAACAACCCTTAAACTTCAGCTACCTAGTTTTATTTTCCAAAAATAGTCCTCAGATTTTGATGGAACCTAGAGGTATTGGGGGGGGGGGGGACTCTTCCCCCAAAATTCATATGATTGTTAAAATGACAAAAAAAAATCATGAAACTACAAATGAAATCCGGATTTAAAAATGACCACACCACACTTTTCTTAAGAAAAAGATTGCTACTTAGCCATTGACATCTGGTGGCTGCTTTTATTCATGGAAATGCTCACATGATATATTCACATGATTTCATTTTGAATTGTTACTAACCAATTAGAGAAATCAAAGTTGGAAAAGAACCACCTCATACACATAAACCAGACTGCTTTTTGAATGAAATGAAAGCCCCTGCCAATCGCTCATTTCTGGAAGAAGCTGACATGGATATGAAAGAGAGTGTCTTCTCCTTTTTGTACATGGCATCTGGATACTAAGGTCTGTTGTCTTCCGGTTAGGTTATCTGGCTGACCTAGCCTCCATTAATTTAATATTTAAAAAGCAAAAAGAAAACTTGTGAAGCTACGCCTAATTTCTTCATTGCTCTCAAGGGAGACAGTTTCAATAGGTTGACTATGGTCTTGTTTCATTTCAAATCAAGATTTTAGGCAGCAGGCACATCAATGTGGCCGCAATCCCTATCTTTAATATTCATTAGATGAGCCCACATTTTAATCATAACCTAATTGTTCTGTCTATTACTCCGTGCCTTTTTTTTAGCTTGATTGCTTAACAAAACTCAGTGTCATCGCAAACAAGAAGAATTGTCAGCTTTGCTTTTGGCTGAATTTAATATTACCTGTTTTTGATCTTTTGAAAAGCTTCAAGCACAGTGCTGTATAGTGTGTTTTTTTTCCTCATCCCGAAGTGTCAGAACTTAACAAAAAGGATGCAGTATGAAAGAATGAGTTTAACTAATCTGACTGGAAATATAGCAGAATACTGTCATTAGAACATATAGTCCATTTATTTTAATCTTTCAGGATATATCCTGAAGGTTTCACATGGACACTGTATTAAGTGACAACAATATCACTATGAACGCTTCAGATATAATTATATTTCAATGCATATTTAGCAGCTTTCCCAAATCAGGCCTGATTATAAGCTCTGAATAAGAACAAGATTGCACCAACACGAAGACAAGAACAAAAGTCTGGCACATGGAAAGAAAAGTGACAAAAATATTTTACTTTTTCAGCTGCTCTACAATCTTCATATGGAAATGTTCAGGATCCATCTGTTAGGATATAGAGTCACTTTAACTATAGTCCATTCTTAGAAAAGCATTCAAAGTCCAGTTTGGTCTTCCATGCAGGCAATCCTCGAAGCTCTTATTATCATATGCTGTCCAGCTTCTTTAAAACAAATGGAGCTATGGAAAGAAACACAGTAATGCTCTCAACAAAAAAAATAAGACATTTAGATCATAACTCCTGGTGTAAGTTTAGCTAAATCAGCAGGAAAGTGATGGTATTCCCTTAGTATAGGTAACTGACAATGAATGTCCTATATAGGTATAACTACACCATGGTAAATTTTCTAGTAAATATTTTTTGCTTAGTTTCTTCCCCATGGCGATGAGCCACAAAGCTCTGTAAATGATCTGATCTTGAAAATGCAGATTTAAGAAAATTGCACTGAAAATAAATTTTGAGTTTTCCACTTCTTGAATACTTGCATTGTTCTTAAGGCATTCAATACCTAACTTTGAAGTTATATAATACATGTGTACAAATCATGAATACTAGAGATATTTTTAAAATGCAAAACAAAACAGAAGGGCATTATTTTTCAAAGTGCCAAAAATATTTTTTTGGAACTCAGGGGCCAAGTAGCAGTACTCAAAGAACTGCCAACAGTCCAAGCCTCTGGCTTTATGAAATACTGCATTACAGAGTACTGTCCTTATATCTCAGCAAATCTCATGCAAAAAATGAAGACATCTGTTAAATTACAGTTGTCTTTCCTTTTTTTTTTTTTTTTTTTTGCTCCATCAGAAAATTTAGCGGTAAACACCAGGTTTTCCTGGTTATGATTTTTTGAGTTTTTTATTATTATTTTACATAGTGTTTACCCTTGGGTTGCAATTTCCCCTAGAGTTTGGTTTAAGATAGACAGCCGTATAAATATTTATACTAACTTTACTTATTTAAAACAAGTTAGCATTTATTCTTCCTTGCACGGGTATCTCATCCCTTGTCCATTGGAGATGGGCAGCCAATAATAAATTTAAATAAATAATAATCTACTCTTAACTCCAACCTTTCCCCTCCCCCCAAAAAAACAACTCCCTAGGGCCGGACCGAGGCATGCCTGGCCAAAGTGACCTTTTTTTTTTTTAATTTGTCAATTGTTTACAAGATAATAGGTATAAGTAAAAACATAGTTATGAATACATGGATACATATAAGAAAAATAAAAGAAACAATAGGACAGGGACGGTAGGCACATTGGTGCGCTTATGCACGCCCCCTACAGACCTCTTAGGAAAGGGGTGAGGTCAATAGTAGACAGTCTAAGGTTAAAGTACAATTCCTCTCGGGATCTACTTCAAACCCCTTAGCCGCTACTCCGCCCCGCATCTTCTGATGACACGAAATGCTCCTCAGATTCCCATCTAAACCTCCCCTTCCCCAACGTTAATGAAGGTCCCTGCTAAACCCCGGCTTTGCAGCAGCTCCCGGGAAAATTATCCCCAGCACGTGGCCGCCGCCGCCGCCGCCGCCCCAGATGTGCGCGCGGGAGGCACACTCACTGATGCGCAGCACGGCAACGTAGATGAGGAAGTTGCGGATGGAAGAGAGAACGTCCTCGCGCATTTTGCGCTTCAGCTCCTCCGGGTCCAGCTTGGGCCCCAGACCCTCAAGGCGGAACATGGTGGTCTCAGCTGCCGTCGGCGCCCACCGCTCCTTTCCTGAGCCAAGGAAGCTTCCGAAAAAACTACCCAGGCGCTCTCTCTCGAAGTAACCCCGCCCTCCCTACGGATGTCATTGAGGGACAAATTTCTTGCTACGGTCGGCGTCCAAGGGGAAAAGACTAGAGTTATTGCCCCTTCTTACACTTCCGGTACAGAACGCTTTTCAATTCTTGACTTCCGGAGCCGAAGGAAGGTTCTAATCCTGAATACGAGAGGAAACAAAGTATCTTAGGGATGGTAGAAAATCGCAGGTGTTTTTTTTCCTTCTTGTGATTTTTCACCTTTCGTCTTTTCCTCTCTCTTCTTTATTATGTAAATAGCCCCGCTGCCTGTAAACTTTTTTTCCCCCTGTTCTCAGCAGAAAGGTAATGCTGTTTTAAAAATTAAGATTGGGAGTGCGGATTTATTACAGCTTTACTAAGCTGCAACGTTTCGGTTCCTGCTTCCATCTGCAATTAAAAAAAAACACAAAGATGCTCTAACTGCATATTTATAATTCTTCTGCTAGGAGAAAAAAAAACCCATAAACGATTCAATGTTATATCCAACAGTATGCTGCAAATTGCAATGACTATTTGCCATATAGATTGGGTGGTTGAAACTGAAAAATACACTGCTCAAAAAAATAAAGGGAACACAAAAATAAGACATCCTAGATCTGAATGAATGAAATATTCTTATGAAATACTTCGTTCATTACATAGTTGAATGTGCTGACAACAAAATCACACAAAAATTATCAATGGAAATCAAATTTAGCAACCCATGGAGGTCTGGATTTGGAGTTACACTCAAAATTAAAGTGGAAAAAAAACACTACAGGCTGATCCAACTTTGATGTAATGTCCTTAAAACAAGTCAACATGAGGCTCAGTAGTGTGTGTGGCCTCCACGTGCCTGTATGACCTCCCTACAACGCCTGGGCATGCTCCTGATGAGGTGGTGGATGGTCTCCTGAGGGATCTCCTCTCACACCTGGACTAAAGCATCCCCCAACTCCTGGACAGTCTGTGGTGCAACGTGGCATTGGTGGATGGAGTGAGACATGATCTCCCAGATGTGCTCAATTGGATTCAGGTCTGGGGAACGGATGGGCCAGTCCATAGCATCAATGCCTTCGTCTTGCAGGAACTGCTGACACACTCCAGCCACATGAGGTCTAGCATTGTCGTGCATTAGAAGGAACCCAGGGCCAACTGCACCAACATATGGTCTCACAAGGGGTCTGAGGATCTCATCTTGGTACCAAATGGCAGTCAGGTTACCTCTGGCGAGCACATGGAGGGCTGTGCAGCCCCCTAAAGAAATGCCACCCCACACCATTACTGATCCACTGCCAAACCGGTCATGCTGGAGGATGTTGCAGGCAGCAGAACGTTCTCCTCGGCATCTCCAGGCCCTGTCACGTCTGTCACATGTGCTCAGTGTGAACCTGCTTTCATCTGTGAAGAGCACAGGGTGCCAGTGGCGAATTTGCCAATCTTGGTGTTCTCTGGCAAATGCCAAATGTCCTGCATGGTGTTGGGCTGTAAGCACAATCCCCACCTGTGGACGTCAGGCCCTCAAACCACCCTCAAGGAGTCTGTTTCTGACCGTTTGAGCAGCCACATGCACATTTGTGGCCTGCTGGAGGTCATTTTGCAGTGCCCGGCAGTGCTCCTCCTGTCCCTCCTTGCACAAAGGCGGAGGTAGCGGTCCTGATGCTGGGTTGTTGCCTTCCTATGGCTTCCTCCACATCTCCTGATGTACTGGCCTGTCTCCTGGTAGTGCCTCCATACTCTGGACACTACGCTGGCAGACACAGCATACCTTCTTGTCACAGCTCGCATTGATGTGCCATCCTGGATGAGCTGCACTACCTGAGCCACTTGTGTGGGTTGTAAACTCCGTCTCATGCTACCACTAGACTGAAAACACCGCCAGCATTCAAAAGTGACCAAACCATCAGCCAGAAAGCATAGGAACTGAGAAGTGGTCTGTGGTCACTACTTGCAGAACCACTCCTTTATTTGGGATGTCTTGCTAACTGCCTATGCTTTCCACCTGTTGTCTATTCCATTTGCACAACAGCATGTGAAATTGATTGTCAATCAGTATTGCTACCTAAGTGGACAGTTTGATTTCACAGAAGTGTGATTGACTTGGAGTTACATTGTGTTTAAGTGTTCCCTTTATTTTTTTGAGCAGTGTATTATCCCCGTGGGCCTGAGCTTGTCTTTGTTTTCTTCTGTGTATAAGAATAAAAGGAAGATACTTTCAGGATAAGGTAAAGAATTCTAGGTATAGAATAAAGCACATGTGGAACATACCCAATCCATCCAGTTTGATAGATAACAAATTGGAAAACAATTCCATCATCCTGGTGATCTTGATCACAAATTACCTGCAGAATAGGTTTGCACAACCCCCTGTGAATGTTCTAATATCATAATCTGGCTATAACTGGATTGTGACACAATATGGACTTTATTCTAGATGTTTGCAATGATAATGAGCCATTAATGGACATTTGAGTAGCAACTACTACTCAGGCATTGTTCAGAATTGGCCCAAGACATTTTGCTACCCTCAGAAGAACAACAAATGGTAACTATTTGATTGAGGAGAACCCCATTCTCAAACCAAAGTTCACAGTATCTAAAGCCAGTAAAATGTTGGCAGCATTGGCAGTTCATCCATGACAGTAAATCATCTTTACCATCAATATTTTTATGTCCTCTAAAACCAGCTGTCTCACAGCTCTCTACATCTAATATGGCATTGCCTGCCATCCAATTTACAAATAGGAAAGAAATATTTCTGGCTCCAAACAGCTGGCAAAATGCTTCTCAGTAGAGCTGCCTTGCTGATGATTCTCAAGAAACAACTTCTAATTCTGGAAAAAAAAAAGAGTTCACCATTTTAAACCCCACCAATGCTACATCAAGTGTTACAAAACATGATGGAACATTTAAAATGGCAGTTATCTTCCTCAGCTTCACCCACTTATGCTGTTGAATAAGCTTAGGACTGGGCAACTGTTTTTGTAACTGCTGCAAAATTATGATATGTACAAAAGTGGAAAAACTGAAATATAATGGGATGGTTGTCTAAGATGACATAATTAGCAGAAATACCTTTTGGACTTTCTGCTGAAAAAAGGAAATCATGGGTTGGAGGCCCATTCATTATCTATTTTTTCTTTTTTTCCTTTCTTTTCCTGCATATTTTCACTTATTAACTTTACTCTTTTTTCCGAAATTTGCATTGCTTTTATTCTCTTAAAATGTATTTAATAAAAATTATTGTAAAAAACGAATTGGGCAGTTGATTGATACAAGAGTCAGTGGTCTCTGACTAAGAGCTTTACACTACAAGCAATCATTAATGAAACCAAGCTCTTGCTTGAGCAGTTGAAAGACAATCAACATAGAATTTCATTCTCCTAACTCTTGTTACACTGTTACATGGTTTGAGACATAGAAAATAGCAGGGAAGAAGTAAAGCTATGAGGACAAGAGATAAAACTGGGGTTCCTAGGCCATTCTAATGGTTCTACAAATAGTTAATGAAGAAAGGCTCAGAATTTGTGTCTACACTCTGGTGTTAAAAGTCAGGTTACCGTTGATTCTATGTTTTACGTGAGTATGGGAAGGAGAAGCACATGATATAACTCTTCTCTAGCTTTCCCAGGATGAGATTTGGGAGTTGAATGCAACATGTACATGTTGGGTATCTGGCTGTGCAAACTGCAAAGTTTGTCTTCTCACTGCTTTAGGGTCTCTTTGAAATTTATGTGGTATCCTAAAAGTGCTTTGTCACTGCTGAGAACATCAGGTGCGCATTAAAATAGAGAAAGGAAGATCTAGGAAGCAGTATTCATACATTGGCAATTAATGTTTATGTATAATTCATTCCCACTCATTCGGTTGGCAAAAAATTAGAAGTGCTACAGAACCAGAAAGTTAGGCCTTTGGGAGAAGATAGTGGAGGAGCAGAGAGCTTCTACAGACAGCTCATAGAGCTGTGACAATTACTGCTAAGATGAAAGGAGATGATACTAAGAGATAAGGATAAAAGTGGGATCTTTAGACATTTTGCTTCCCTTTCCAAAAACTCACAAAAAAATCAAAGTGTCTGATGGCCTCAGTTAGGGTTGTCAAACTCAGTTTCAGTGAGGACCACATTAGGGCTGTGGTTGACTTGGGCGGGGGGGGGGGGGGCTAGCTGGCGGGGCATGGCCAGCTTGATGCCACTCCTCAAACTGCTGGCATGTTTCCTCTTTGCACTAGGTAGATGGGCTGAAGCCATGCTGTCCCGATATTTCCTCTTTGCATTGGGTAGACAGGGCTGAAGTGCCACAGGCCAGCCTCTTACATTTTCCAGGACATCCCCGCCTTGTGTTTTCCAGGACTGGGCCTTGTGTTTAACACCCCTGGGCTAGGTGAACTGAAGAAACTTTTAGATATAATCTCTGGAAACACCTCATTGATTGCTAGAATGTCTGTCTTATTCTAGGCATTTTCTGTGGCTAGAATTGGGGCACATTACATTTTTCAAACAAGGAGCCACACTTGACTAATCAGTGTTAACTCACCTTTGTTACCTAGAGTAATAAATTATATCTAACATTGATGTTGCAAAGACTATCAATTTCTCGTACATTTTCTACCATCCTACAATTGTATGTACCATAATGGGATGGGAGAAAAATGAGCTGAATTTCTATTTTCAGAAATGGTGATTTCATGGACATTTGTTTCCTTCTTTCTAACAGGGTTTGGACAAGCTGTTTTGCAATATATCTAAACCTGTTTTGTACATTGTGAGATCCAGTTTGGAAGTCTAAAAGCTGCCCACCATATCATCTAATACAGGGGTGTCAAACTCAATTTCATTGAAGGCCACATCGGGGTTGTGTTTGACCTGGGGGGGGCAGGGGTGTGTGTGGCCAGAGTGGGTGTGGCCAGCATGATATCACTTCTGTTGGGGCCTGTGGTGGCCTAAGCACTCTGCCAAGGTAAATGGGTTCCTGATGTCTGTTTTCGGCTGCAACAGCTGCAACCGTCTGCCAGCGAAAACAGAGCTTGGGAG